TATTTATAGTTATTTTCAAAGCTTCAATGTACTGTCAAAAAACCTTCATTATTGTTTATTTAACTCTAACAAATAAGTTCTTGTTAAAATTTTTTTTTTTTTTATATTTTGCTTATAATTTCTTCACAGGAGAGACTTGGTGTTGTTTCCAAACAAAAGGAAATGTATCAGTATTGGCCAAAATGAGTTGAAAAATATCGGCATATCGGATATCGGCAAAAATCCAATATCGTGCATTCCTAGTTATGAATTAAGCTTATTTGACTACAACAGTTCATATATCAATGTCGTAATAAATAGAAATAGCCTTAAATAATGTATAGTTACCGGCATCTTTTTGCCTCTTATGTGTACAGTTAATTTTTACACACGTGAATCACATTAAAAACGCCGTATAATAAGCAGATACCAGGGAACAAATTTAAACAATGTAAATAGTATTAATAGCATCCTACAAAATTAAAAGGAGTAAATCTAATTTATAAATATAATATTTTAATATAAAATATATAGATATTATAAACCGGTTGAAGTAAAAAAATAACATGATATTTAAAATATAATTAAGAAACATCTTATTTAAAGATTAATTGCACCTACAAGTTGCATTTAATACCAATCAGTTAATCTAAAAGTTGAGTGTGTTTTTACTAAATAAATAATTAACCAAATAAAAGAAAAAGAGCCCTTTTTGTCGATTTTCAGAATAACTACATATATACATAACTACTGTATATTGTGAAATATATCATTACCGTGAAATAAAATTAGTCATACCGTGAAACAGATTTTTGGTCATACCGCCCATCCCTCCCTAACCACATATGTTCAAAGTTGGTCTTAAAGGGATGAGTTTCCTTCTTCTGCTGAACACAAAAGGAGATATTTTGAAAAATGTGGGCCACCATACAGTTAGTGGTAGCCACTGACTTCCATAGTCAGGAAAAAAATACTATGAACTCAATGCTAGCGTAAAATGTTTGATTACCCACATTCCTCAAAATATCTTCTTTTGTGTTCAACAGAAGAAAGATATTCATACAGGTTTGGAACAACATAAAGGTTAATAAATTATGACAAAATGTTAATTTTTGGGTGAACTATCCCTTTAAGGAAGCCCTTTGTAATTCAGACAAATTACAGCAATTCAAACACTTGACAGTCATTGGTCAGATGGTCAGAAAGTCCCGCCCCCATATGCACATGATTAGCTGAGTTTGAAGCATCTCCGTGACTCTGAACATTAAACTGACATACTAGAAACTTTAAGCAGTTAAAAATAAAAGGTAAGAATTTAAGTCAATTAGTCAACCTGTATAATTAGTTGGTTGTTGGATGACAAAAACCTCTTTACCCTCTTTAAAGCATCACTGCTAAAAAATACTGAAGCTGCACGTGTGATTTCTGTTCAATCAAACACAACTGCAAGAATAATGAAAATTCTCGTCAGTCATTGGTCTGATGGTCAGAAAATCCCGCCCCAAAACTCACATGACTGGTTGAGTCAGAAGTGTCTCCCTCATTCTGAACATTAAATAGACTATAATTAGTAGGTTGTTGGATGACGAACATTACATGTACAAGAAACACCCTCACTGAAACAAGGAACATACTCGCTGAAGACACGCTCTGATCTTTCAGGACCTGAATCTAATAAAACACAAAGGCTGAGCTCTAATTGGCTGACGGGCAGCTATGTGGAACTTGTGATTGGCTGTCTCACCGTGTTGCCAGCTTGTGGCAGACGACTCCGCTGTCTGTGATGACCTCACTGAGACGCAGCTCCAGGTGAACCTTTCCCTGCGGAGGACAGAGAACAGCGTTACCATGGTTACACTCGCCACCCGCTGAGAAGGAGAGCGAGAGACAGAGGAACGGAGCATGAGAAACCAATGAAAACACAACCACTGCAGGGTCCCATGAGGCTGTGCTGGGATCAGGCTGCCAATGAGTCATGGGCAGCACACGTGACCGAACATGGAACATGGAAAACACTCTGGGTGGGCGGTCCTATGGTACATACCGACAGAAATGTGTCAACTGGTAAAGATTCTACTGAACTGCTCATACTGCAGCAGAATGTTTTTTTAAAAATATAAAACTATACCATTTACTATTACCATATAAAAATACTTTTAAAAATACAAAAATGTTTTTTTCATTAAATTTCTAGATATTTTCATTAAAATATAAACATATGTTACAGCACGCAGCTCTTTGTCACTTCATGAGCATTTTACCGTTTCTTTTGAGAAAAACTATCGTCATATCATATACAAACTGAAATTTAAAGGTCTTCATAGCAACCTGTCAAAATAAAAGTTTGGTTTTACTTGAAGAAACTGTGACATAAATATATTACTTAATGTAATGATTTTGTATAAAATCTATTAATTAGAGATGCTTTTCATTAGGGCTGGGACAATAAATCGATGCATCGCGATTCGTGGATCGATTCTGAGATTTTCATAATGCATCGTGATTCTCTCTCGAATCGATTCTGAGCTTAGTTTTTAACAGCAGATGGCGCTGTAGGCTAGTTTTTAACCACACACTCAAATGCTCACGAAGAAGAGCGCTTGTGCGTTCGGCTGAGTAATGTAAGTGGTTAAATGTACTTGCACATCGGCTTTTATGATGCGAGATTAATGTAAACACAGCCCACTGTGAACATCCTTGTAATTCGCTTCAACCTTTTCGAACTTTATGAATGATTATTTTAGGTTCAAATAGTGCGTCTGTAAGGAACTGGAAGCAAGCAGAATATGGCGATTTCTAAAGCACGCAGTGCCATCTGCTGTTAAAAACTAAACTCAGAATTGATTCAGAGAGAATCGCGATGCCTTCGGAAAATTAAAACGGAATCCAGAAAAATTAAAATGGGAAAAAAACAGAATTTGGAAAAAAATAAAACGGAATTTTGGGAAAAAATAAAATTTCGTAGGGCCCTAAGTTAGCCAATCAAAACAGTGGCCCGCCAACTTAAAACAGATCATTTCAGACAGAGGGTCAGAATGAGGATTGAAAATAATTGTTTTTCCGCATATATATAGCCTATATATAGTGTGTGTGCAAAAAAGATTACTAGTATTATAAGTGAACTTCAAGGAACATATTAAAAAAAATGTCATGATCCCTGTAACATCCAATAAAAAAGCAGCTGAATAAACCAATAGCTTCACTAGCTTGGTAAAACAACATGTAAAAATAAACAGAAAGACGTCGGAGCTCCAAATATCTGTTGTGAAACTCATCGCTTTGACATCTTTTAACCCTTCTGATATGTGTTTACGCACTTTCCTGTACAGTTCAGGTAGAGTCGTCACGGATAAATATTTTCACATTCATATTCAGCTCGATGGACTAAGAGTGTTCTTTAGAATAAAATCTCTGGAGATGCTTGATTAACTTGGTTCTGTTATAATTCGAAGTTTTATCACCACCCTACGGAACATTGACTTTGCAGATTTTGCAAGCAGCTGTCGAACTTGTTGGCATAGCTGGTGTGAAATACCTTTAAATAGGTGATCCTTTGGTTCACTCCATGCTGTTAGCTGCTCTGTGCACATTAGCTTGTTTGAAAACCGTCTACCGGTGTGCCGAGCCCGTTGTGAGCGCATGACATCACGCTGCACACAGCATAGAATTACAGCAAGAACTCTGTAAGCTTTCGGATCGTAATTTGATGTCATACACCGATCAGTCTGCGCAGCATCACTTCAAGTCGAACACACCTTTAGACTGAATAAAATGGCCCCTATGGATCAGGCCCATTGTCACGATACCCGATCTAGAATTATTCAATATCGGAGCCAATACCTGATACAAATATCGGATTGTAGGATCCCTAAAGCTAAGCTAATGAGCTGAAGCACCTTTCATCAGTGGAGGATTTTATTCACTAAATTATGAAAAATAGAAATGAACATATGATTATTAAAATAAATAAATAAAAATATAAATTAAATATTTTTTAAATCATTAAATTTCCAGGTACCGTTAGTGAGACATTAAATTATATTTTGACAGCACGCAGCTCCTCCTCTGAGCAATTAAACTTTCCTCTAGTTGAAACAAAGTGAAGCCTTGTGAAGAGGATGGGCCGCTCTTCCTCGAACACAGCACAACAATAAGTGCTCTATGGACAGAGTCTCTGGGCTCTTCATTACACACACACACACATCCTTCCTCACTCAGCTCTCGATGAATGCTTCTGTGTTTCTGAGGATCCTCTGCAGCTCCGGCAGAATCACTGTGAGAAGATCTCATTCAGCTCTGAACTACAGAACTGCATCAGATGTGGAAATGCAGTCAACGTAATTAAGTGTGAACGATGACACTGCTGTGATCCTACAGAAAAGAGCTCATGATCTAAACAAATACTGCGTCTCCTCATAAATCATGAGCGTTGTTTGTGCTTAACACACGTGAGTGTATGAAAACGTACCTGCACCTCTGAGTCTGCACAGACCGGCTGCAGCGGGAACCAGTGGTCTTTACCGTGGTATTTTTGCAGGTCTTCCTTCTTCACGGCCACTTTACCTGTAGAAACAACACAGATCACAGATCAGCTCACCACATGAACTGAAGCCTTGTTCAGACTGTCAGTCCAAATCTGATTATTTGTGTATCCGATTGGAATCTGATTTAAATGTTTGACTGTCCACACTGTGTATTGGAACTGTTCAGATCTGATTTGTGTGTCCCATGGTGCTTTTTCATTTTACTGAATATCTGCATTGATTTCTATGGCAACGACGTTGCGTTTGGTATGCCTACGCTAAAAACAACAATAACAGCAATACAGTTTGCAATACAGATGTTGTCTTACAACAGGACAACATGTTGCCATGCTATTGGAAATCAGTGTAGCTGTAATCATTCAGGTGTTCTGGGATTTTTAACTGTGCAAGTGGAACCGTAAACCTTTACTTGTGAAATCTTAATTTGTACATTTTTATTTGTTTGTAAAAATGTTTAAATATTTTATATTGGAAACATGAAAAAACAATGAAATTTCAACAACATTTTTTGCAGCAGTGCATGACTGTATCATAGTTTACAACCAGACAGCAGACAGTTCACAACCAGACAACATGGAGAATGTTGAACAGGGTAAGTTAACATATGGATCATCACATCAGTATACAAAAAATATGTCCACAGATACATTCATATAGACTTATTTCATTTGTTGCAGGCAACGACGTATTCAACTATAATAAAACTAATAATAGACACAGTTTTAAGGCATAGCAAGCTACAAACTGAAATCAATGTATACAACTAGCTGAGGTTTGCTGTACTTTATCCTGACATTACATGCCTGCAATCATTCAGTCAGGGACGACTGTACAAAACGTGCAAGGTTTGTGTGATTAAAATGTGCACTGCAAACGAATAAAAACTTTATAAACTGTTACGAAATGATGAACAAATGTAGTTTAGGCATAGGTTTGTGCAACCCAATAAATATATTTACCATTTTTTAAATATTCCATTAAACATGCTGAGATACAAGGAGTGCAAACTAAAATTCTCAGTTCCATGCACATGCCCAGGAAACTCTACCCTAGAAAACACCCTAGAAATTCCATAGCAACCACCCAAAACACCCTAGCAAATACCTAGCAAACACACATCCAGAAAATTCTAGAAACTACCTAGCAACCAACCAGAACACCTTAGCAACTACCAAGCAAAACATCAAAACAAGCACCCAGAACACCCTAGCACACTCCCTAGCAACCTAGAACCACTTAGCAATGCTTTATGAACCACCCAGAAAACCCTAGCAACTACCCAGAACACCCAAGCAAGTGCCCAGAACTACCTAGCAACCACCCAAAACACCCTAGCAACCACCTAGCAATGCCCTAGAAACCATATAATCACACTATGGCTCTTTGTCATTTTTGTGTTATACACGATCACATCTTCTGGGAAAGTTTCTAGTTAATGTTCAAACACTTTATCTGTCTTTGTTCTATGTTCTTTCACAAACATTCCCCTTCCTCCTGCCTCAATATCTTTTGTAACATATTAAGGCCTGCAGCCACATTAATCATAAATTAATGAATCATAACGATCTGGTAGGCCAAGCTGTGTGATTAAATGTACGAGCTCTACTGTGACTGGAAAAAAAAGTATGTGTAGAGGTATAAACTGTGTTTGCATTCACTGAATGGAAAAGGTTTCTGATGTCAGGATATTTCGATTAGGGAGCACACACACACACACACACGTATGTTGGGTTTCCATGTTTTATGGGGATATTCCATAGAAGTAATGGTTTTCATACTGTACAAACTGTATTTTGTATCCCCTTACCCTAACCCTACCACTAAACCTACAACTCATACAAAACTTTCTGCATTTTCACATTTACAACAAATAACATCCTGTATGATTTACTGAATAAGCTGTTTTCCTCATGGGGACCAAAAAATGTCCCCACAAGGACAAGGATTTTGGATATTGCTATCTTTGTGGGAATTTTTGTCCCTATAACGTAGGGAATACCTGAACCACACCTACACACACACACACACACACACACACACACTTACTCAGCTATCTAAATACTGACATTCCATATACTTCTATTGTTTTTATATACAGCTAGTTATACATACTGTAACACTGTAAACAATTTTTGTAATTTGAACAGTATTTTACTGTAATATGTACAATAAGATACTGTAAAATCTGTATACAGTATATTATTGTAAACAGCAAAGGATTGTGGGAAATTATTGGTCACTAGTGTAATTCTTCTCTACTGCAAATCCAGTATATTATTAGTATTTTTTGTTTTTGTTTTATGCAAAACTGATATATTTTTAGATGTTTTCACTTGTTAATAAAAAACTAGCCTAACTAATTATTCATCGTGTCATTTTTCATGTGGGGAGTGTTTTGGAGCCTTTTTTCTGACTGTCGGCCGGAACACCATCAGAACGGTGAAAACATCAACTGGTAAGTTAAGGTCACCTATATTAGTGTAAGTAAACTTTAGTTAAACCGAGAAACATCACGTTTGTATGTTCCGCTGCCTCTTTAATGCAAGTTAGCTAATCAGGCGGAGTCTGAGGTAATACTGAGGTAAAGTGAGTTAGGCAACACCATTGTTTAAGTGAAGTTTTTAAGCAGCATTTTTAAGTACTTATTTTGTTTTTTATCTTCAAGTTTGTGGTTCATGTCGTCTGCAACGTCAGAGGTGTATTTTGGAGCCTTTTCTTGTGATTGACATTGTATCGATGATAATAACATCAACTGGTAAGTTAACGTCAGTTAGCCTAAGTAAACTAGTTAAACACATAGAAGCATAACTTCTATGCTGCCTCTTTATCGCAAGTTAGGTCAGACAGACGTAACAACGTAAACAGCGAGCGAAGGTGAAATACTGAAGAAAACTGAGTTAAGAAAAACTGCTGTTAAATACATCTTTTGTATTTTATTTTCAGGTTTGGGGTCTTGTGGTCATGCCGGCTGCAACGGAGGTACATTTGGAGGAACATTCAGTAGAGAACATCAGGCTGTGGCTAATTTGGTACAGTAGGTGTATTTAGCAGTAGCATTCAAGAAACTGAACAAATACAAAAATAAAACACTATATACACTTCACTGTATAAATTATACATTGATTCTTATTAAAGGGGTCATATGATGCTATTTTAAAGATCATTATTTGGTGTATTTGGTGTAACAGAATATGTTGACATGCTTTAATGTTCAAAAAACACATAATTTTTCAAATACTGTACATTATTGTAGGTCCTCTATGCCCCACCTCTCTCAAACACGTCGTTTTCAACAAAGCCCC